TCCACTTACATTTGTCTTAATTGCAAGTTGCATTGAACAAAGATGAGGTCCCTGAACCGCTGCTGCTCTAAGAAGTTCCTTGTTTCATGCACTTTTTCAAAAGGAATTGAATTCTGCTTAAGCCCAAGAGTACTGCAAGTTTGACTAAGGACATGGATAGCCAAACGAGCCAAATTTGGACAACTTCCTCCATATGTTGACCACCATTCAGCTATAACAAGCAGTATACAAAAGCGAAGATTAGCTACTACTAAGATATTAGGGAAAAGAATATCACAACAGGATATTAAGATGGAAAAATACACACATTATGCTTTCAACATGGATGTTCTATATGTAACAAAGGTACTTCATACGAGGTAGGTTTAACATATTATCCATCGTCCACACACAAGTAAAGCTTTGGAACTCAAGTCGTATATAACAAAGAAAACAATGCGTACAACAATCCAAATCACCTATGATTAGTCATGGATTTTTTCCCCTGAAGGTTCTTTGATGGCTAAAATTGCCATTCCTTGGCCCAAAAAACATGTCATTCAAACCAAAACATGAAGGAAAACATTTTTATGACTTCACAGTTCTAGTATTTCTGGTAAAGGCACATAAATTATAACAAAAGAATTTAAGTTGAAATATAGTAGCAAGAAGTACTAAAGAATCCATTAAATAAGCTTACCAGGAATCATAAATTATGACAAAAGAATTTAAGTTAAGATATAGCAGCCAAAAATAACAAAGAATCTATAACATAGACTCTCACCAGGAAGTAAAGTATCTCTAGCTCTAACTGCCATCTTCCTCCCAAAATCTCCAACAGTATTCTTGTATGAGTTTATTTCCTTGCTAATTTTATCCTGGACTTTTACATCAGGAACCAATTTCTCTATACAATCAAGCATCCCTGACAGCATCTCATTAGGCATGTCTCCTTCCATGCTATAAAAGAACTTGGGATTAAGGTAGAAACCAGCAGTATGAAGAGGATGATGCCATTGTTGTTCCCACCAGTGATCTATAATATTCCAATAGATCATATACTCATCCCTTTTAACTAATTCTTTTTTAATTGTTTCTTTTGCCCGATACATTCCAGCGTAAACATATCCCATTGCAGGCCTCTTCTTACTCCCAACCATTCTCAGAACTTGAAGGAGAGGATTGGTTAACTGGGTAAGCAGAACACAGGAGGACCAAAATGATGGATTACTCACTAAATCCAACATCTCCAGTCCCCCTGGTTTCTTTGAATATGGGCAGTCCATCCACTCCTGTGAAGTAACCATGGCCTGCAGGTTGTTCTTAAGATCAATCATCTGTTTCAATGTTGTAAAGTTTGTAGCTGAGCGAGTGACTGCTGGTTCTACAATATCATTGCCAAAAGTGTACCTTCTTACCATATTCAACACAACACTATGGTTATAGACAAATCTCGTAATAGATCTTGCTTGCTCAATTATCACATTTATCCACTCAAGTTTTGCAAAATCTTCAAGTATCAAGTTTATACAATGTGCTGCACAAGGGGTCCAGTACAGAGTAGGGAAAGTTTCAGCTAACCTCCTCCCAGCAACCATATATTGTTCTTCAGCATTAGTGATTACTTGCAAGACATGCTTAGATCCAACTTCTTCCACCACTTGCTTAAGTAATTCATACAGAGTATCTGAAGAATTTATTACACCAGAGGCATCCACAGATTTCAAAAACACTGTTCCTTCAGGACAATACACCAGAAAGTTCAGCAATATTCTACCAGTTTGAGTGTTCCATTGATTAACCAGAATAGAACAACTGGTCCTTACCCATGCTGCTGTTACTTTATCATTATAGCTCTTCACTTCTTCCACCGATTTCTTCAATATCCAACCTTGAAGATCACTACACGAAGGCATTAGCTCCCCAGATCCTCCTGAGATAATAGTGTCAACCATTGGCTGGAAATAAACTGAATTAACTGCATCCAAAGGTGCTCCAATATCAAACAAAAATCGCCCTATGGCCATATGTGCATGATTGTTTACTCTCTTTGCACCTAACCCAACTGTGTCAACTACAAGAGCATTAGACTCAGCAGCAGAATTTTTACCTTTTCCCCTCTTTCTCCTATCCCCAGAAACATTACTTGTTCCTTCTCGATTAACTAACAAACTCGAACTAGGCTGAAGTGTATCTGGTCCTTCAATCATAAGCAGTCCAGTATTAGTGTCAACCTGATTATCATATGCATCTATCTCGCAAGAAACCTGATTAGCATTACTCATCTCCTCTGCAATCTTTTGCTTTTTCCTCTTCTTCACTTCAACCCCATCCAAACTTTCTCGCATTAGAAGACGAACGTCAGATGGAACGCGAAAACAAGTAGAAGCATTACCCTTTTGACCAGCCAAATGTTCCTTAATCCTATGAATCCCACCACCCCTAAATATTTTGCCACAATATATACACTTCAATTGTACCCTTTCACCATTCCTAAACATCTGACAATGTTTCCATGCTGGGTCATGTTTCTGTGATGTTATTGGTATTGGTTCTAAATTTGATGCCATGTTCTCACCACTCACAACCTTAACACAAACAAAAGAAAAAACCCAGAATTCTTAAGTCTTCTGTCACAATAACATCAACAAAAACAAGAACAAAAACATTGTAATAAACATGTTTATATTAAACTCATCAAAAACAAACGAACAATTAGAACAGTTGCATTTGACAGAATTATTATCATCATTGCAATAACTAACATGAACAGAAATTGAAATAAACAACATAAAACTACATAATAAACATGTTAACATTAAAAAAACCAATAATTAAAATAAAATAAAATTAAAAAGAAAAGAAAAAGAGCTTACTCGTAATTCTGTTGAATTGGATTTTCAGAAAGAGCGGTAATTGATTGAGAACCGAGTTAAGGGAGTTGGTGACGGAATGGAAAACCGAGGGTTAAGGAAACCGGATGGACCGGTTAGGGTACGGGATAAGCCGGTTGGTTTATCTAATAATAGTTCGAGTTTTACCGGGTCATCAGGTCATTTTTAATTGAGCCGGTTTTACAAAACCAGAAACCGAGACTTCCGGTTACATTCTCTTAATAGCCCGAGTCGGTTACAATGATCAATAAAAGCATCCCGCTAAACCGGCCGGTGGCCGGATTTTTCCTTTCTGGTTTGAACCGGCACGTTTCTTATGGTTCGTGACCGGTAATGTCGTTTTTTGGGTTTCTTTTGAAAAAAAAAAAGAGGCTTTTTGATTTGCTGTTTAATTTCCTTCATTTTCTCAGGAATCTAACAGAGGGTTAAGGTGTTGGAAATGGGTAAGATTTAAAATTAGGGTTCTCTTCCAAAAATAAGCACTATCCATGAACTAAATTTAGAACGTTGATTAAGTTAATTTTTTTGATTAAAATTTTCTTTTTGCTGGTTTATTTATTGCAAATTCTTGTTATATCAATTAAATGCGGTGCATTGTTTTAGGTACACATCATTATCTAAAGAGATTTTATTAAGGAACTAACAATTTTCTTCCAAGGTTATTACTTCTAATACTAAATCTTCCCTATGATAAAGTCTTTTCTCTTTTGCTCTAAAGAATCAGTTTTGAAGAGACTATGTTGTAGTCATGGTGTGTCTGCATTAAGGGTATTTGTTTATATATATAATTTACCCCATAAGTACTGGAATGTTGGAAGTGATGTGTTGCCAAGATTCAACTAAGAAGTCAAAGAAAATGTGGGGTATCCAACAACTGGTTGAATCTTCTCTTTTGAAGGTTATGCAAAGTGCAGAAATTGCCAGCTTTGAGTTTATGTCTCATATATATATATATATATATATATATATATCAGGTTTCTGACAGGGTAAAAGATGGGTTCCTACTCCACAGTCCACTGACTCTGTAGAAAGATCAAATGTGACTACTATTTTATCAGAATTCTTGGAAGAAAGCTTCACATTTCTTCCCAAGCCAATTTGATTTGTATGACAAATTTTCCTATGTAGAGAATGAATGAGAGTGCTTTTGCCTTTCAGCATTGGTGTTGTCAGCTCAGACATCTCTCTTCCTTCTATGCTAGGGTCTTTCTCTGGCTTTCAAAATCTTTTTTCTGATACGTAAAGGACTGATGTTAGCAGGTTAGCTATTCTTTTCTGCAATCCCTTCTTTCACTTTTGCTTTTCCTAATATATCGGTTACTGTTTTGACATTCGTTCTCAAGGGATTTCATTTTCTTTAGTTATTTTATTGCCACCCAAACAAAACTTAAGTGACCCAATTTTTGAGAGCTTCGAGGACTGCTGACAGTGAATACAGCTTGCACCATTGACAATGCTACGCTAGAACAGGAAATTTACTCATTTGCTACTTTTCTTTTTCAAACTAGGTTTATGACCCCATTAAAGTTTCTTTCGTAACAGGAAAATTGGGGACACAAATGAAAGAATCTTATGCTAAAAAAGCAAACAATAATGTGGGAAGCACATGATTGGGTCCTTTGAAATAAAATTCTAACTTTATCTTTTTGAAAAAATTATGATGCACGTATACAGCACTATCTCCTGTTGGAAAAGATTATGATATAATACTTAGCTATGTTAAAAGAAATTCAAATTTTCTTGTTTTAGTTGATTAAAGATACGTGTATTTATTATTAAGTTGAATATTCAGATGTGACAGTGAAAAGAATATGATAATTAGTAGCTTTACCTTGTAATTATATCTGTCATATCTCATGACTGTGCTTGGATTTGCATTAAGTTTCAAGCTCTTGTGAGGATTGTCAAACTGATATTCAGGACAGTATTAGGTGCTACATTTTTTTCTTTGGGTGAAAGGGAATTGCTTGAGGAAAAAGCTCTCTGAATTCTAATATATAATTCAGTGCTTAAAATCTTTTAACTAATACTTGCTATATTTTAAAATTAAGTTTAAAGCTTAATCTGTTTCTTCTGATGGTGTTAAGAACAAAATGTAGCAAAGTAATACAAGCCAAAGATAGCGGGAGAAAACAGAGTACATAAAACCAGAAAGTAACCATTTCTTTATGGGTTAGCAAACCGTATTTACACTTGCGGTTACACAAAGTTTAAATCTTTCATAGTGGCGAGAAAAAGGGTGACCACTCATAATATACTCTAGCAAGCAACAAGCAGTTCCATCATCAATTTCCAAACAAATGCCAACCCCTTCGATTCTCTGCTGCTTCTTCTTCTATTTCTTCTGCATTTTCATCTCCTTCTGCCTGACAGGTATGGAGTTCTGCCACATTATTCTTCTACATGTACTTGCTTTATTCACCAGTCTAAAGCTTTGTCTTGCTTGAGGAGCTGAACTTTTTACATTGTGATCTTTTCTTGCAGATGGCACCCAACTCATACTAGTAAACAACTGTCAAGAAAGCATATGGCCTGGAATCCTCGGCAGTGCAGGCCATGAAACTCCCAGAGAGGGAGGTTTCCATCTCTCCTGTGGTGAACAGACAGTCCTGGAATTACCTGAACGATGGTCAGGTAGAATCTGGCCAAGACAAGGCTGCTGTTTTGACCAAACCGGCAAAGGTTCATGTCAGACTGGAGACTGTGCAGGGCTTTTAGAATGCAAAGGCACTGGAGGCAAACCGCCGGCAACTCTTGTTGAAATGACGCTTGGTGGTCCAACATCTCCCTTACATTATTACGATGTGAGTTTGGTCGATGGATTCAATGTTCCTGTCTCAATGGTGCCAATAGGTGGTGGCGTTGGATGTGGGGTCGCAGCTTGTGAGGCTGATCTGAATGTCTGTTGCCCTGCTGCCTTGGTTGTGAAGAAAGAAGGGAAGGTGGTGGGGTGCAAGAGTGCATGTTTGGCTGCAAAAACAGATAGGTATTGCTGCACTGGAGAGTTTGCCAATCCCAAAAGTTGCGCACCTACGGTTTTTGCTAATCTGTTTAAGGCCATTTGCCCCAGGGCTTATAGCTATGCTTATGATGATTCTTCAAGTCTTAAGACTTGCAGGGCTTCTCGCTATGTCATTACATTCTGCCCTCCTAATTGATGGAATGGGATATACTTACTGTAACTGTTGCTGAGCACTGGCTTTCTGTTGTGGTTGGTTCAAGTTTAATTTTTATTCTGTCATGAGTAACTGTATGTCTGTAGTTCAAGTTGATAAGAAATCTAGATCAGTTCAAGTTGGCAAGTTTTCAATTGTTTTGTTTTGTTAATATTGTGGCTTTAGTGTATGTTCTTGTACTGATTTCACCGTAGATGCTCATTTTCTGTGATTAGTTTCATGTTTTTATCTTTTGACTGTTCTCTTTTTGCTTCATTGGATGAAGTTGAACCTTTACCTGTCCCATACGTGTCCTTGATAACTTAACTAGAATCATAATATTTCCTTAAAAACCATCAAATTACAAAGTCATTAACATAGAACCTGGTGTTCTGTGATTTTAACAGGTTTTTCTATTTCCTCTGAGAAAAATATCCACCAAATTAAGTTCAGAAAATTCTTGTTGAAATCAGTGTACAACTTCTTTTAATGGGAAAAATAAGTTGAAACTGCAAGCTGAGGGATTCTTCGTTGATCTCAGAGCATTCATATATAGCCAAGGAATCCAGACTTGAATTCTGCTGTTGTAACTTGGTTATGGGTTGGCAATGGTCATTCCCCATCTTGATTGGTGGGTTTTTTGCATTCATCCCTTACTGAATTCTGAGCAGGAAACCTGCTTACTGCTTAGTTGGTTATGATGAATAGAATAAGCACTAGAAAATGTCATAATTTGATTAGGTACATGGAGAAACTAAAATCAGAACCACAAGGTTCCCAAGAATCCAACTTGCTTCTTTAAACAGCCAATAATAATGTATGATCAAAAACAGAATTATGGGTTGTTTTGTTCTGAACAAAGAAAATTAAAAGTCAAAATCTCAGAACTTTATTTAATCGAATTGCCATATTATATTGCCAAAAACAATGGCCAACAACAAATGAATGACAGTGATTACAATCTTAAACTAGCAAGTCAAACAAAAAGGAAGCTCCAAAATTACAGGGAAGGAATTTTAAAGAAGACCAATGCAAGATTCCCATAGCTTTTAACTCGACAGAAGCAACGTTCCCGTAATTTTGCTTACATATAAACCTGACTTCAGAAACCAATGTTTAGCAACTGAAAATGGATCTGAAAGTTGAAAATGGATGTATTCAAGAAGATAATGGGTTGGGCTGGGGGAAGTCTTTGCCTGTGAAGAGTGTCCTGGAAATAGTGAGGAATGATTCTCAGTCAGTTCCTGAAAGATACATTCAAGAACACAAGGACAGGCCATTAGTTTCTGAGACCTTACCCGCCTCACCTGAAATCCCAATCATAGATTTCTCCTTGCTAGCCAAAGGAGATGGAGATGAAAGAAGGAAGCTAGACCTTGCTAGCAAGGAATGGGGATTTTTTCAGGTAAATAAACAATTTTAAACTTTCATCTGGTTTTTTGATTTAATGAAGTACATGAATTTCTACTCCTAGTGTCCTACAGATAACAAATGATGGTGTAGTAGATGAGGTCCTGCACAAGATGAAGTCAGCTGTGGCAGCTTTCTTTGCACTGCCGCTAGAAGAGAAAAAGAAGTATGCAATGGCAGAAAACGATCTTCACGGATATGGGCAAGCCTATGTAGTCTCAGAACAGCAGAAACTCGATTGGTGTGACATAATGGCATTGATGACTCTCCCTCCTGAAAGCAGGAATTTCAAGTTCTGGCCACACACGTTTACGAGGTTTCAAGTATGGTAATCTTTCTTGATCCTATTGATGTTTATAAAAATCCACCAGTACACAACATGATATGAAGATCCTACAACAAACTTTGACCACAACAAAGAATCCTAACTAGTCCCTGGGATGATTGAATTGTCATGTGTCACATATTTCTTTTCTGATAATTGTTTTCACCGGAGGGGCAGTGGAAGTGTACTCGACACAAGTGCAAAAGGTTGCTGAGGAGATCAATGCTAACCTATCACTATTAATGGGGATGGATAGAGATGGTCTGAAAAGGTTGCACGGCAAGCTCAAACAACTTTTGAGAATGAACTATTACCCACCTTGTTCAAGGCCTGATCTTGTTCTTGGTATTAGCCCCCATTCTGATGGAGGCTCTTTAACTTTGCTTCTTCAAGATGATGAGATCATTGGCCTCCAAATTAGGCACAAAGAAGAGTGGATTCCTGTTAAACCAATTCCAAATTCTCTTGTGATGAACATTGGTAACGCTGTTGAGGTAGTTATAGTTATCCAACATACTTCAGAGTGAAAAATTTCTATTATCAAGCAACCCTGCATTATTTCGTTTTTCCTTTTTGGTTTTCAGATTCTGATCAATGGCATGTACAGAAGCATTGAACACAGAGCCATTACGAATGAGAAGAAAGAAAGGATTTCGGTCACTGCATTCGCATTTGTAGATGATGAACTAGAAATCGGTCCCCTTGACTCAATGGTGGATGATCTCCATCGCCCTAGAATGTATCAAAAAATCTAGTACATTGACTACATCGGGCAGGTATTAGCAAGGAAAATGGAGGGGAAAGCTCACACTGACTTGGTGAAGTTACAAAGCCAGTAACCCCAGTTTTTTCCTCTTAATTTCTGTGCTATTACTAGATGAAAGTGTGGCAACTATTTGCATTGTAAAGAATCCTTTCTCAGCCTTGCATGGTTAAGTTAAGAAAATTCTTGTTGAAAAATCAGTTTGCATCCAAGATACACTCTTTTCTCTCATGAAATCTAGAATCTTCACCTACCAAGTTCTTTTTTTTAATGGAAAAAAACAGGTTCATATTTTCAAGCTGAGGAATTCTTCAATGATGTCAGAGTATGTACATAGCCCCAGTAACCCAGACTTGACATTCTGAGAATGGACCACAAGAAAACATGCAGGAAAAGTGTTTAATCCTACGCGAATGTGGGTACTTTTCCTTGATTCCATTACACAACAAAATAGAATATAAGCAATCTAAAATTCCAGAACCTCAAGGTTTCCCATATATATATATATACAACTTGCATGTTGGAATTGCCAACACTAAACGCCAATGGCGATTGAGAAAAAATAATGGAAGTTCCCTATTTCTACATTCAACATATACTAATAAATTGGCAGGTCAACCTGAAGGAAAACGCCTAAATTTCCTGAAATGGAGGTTTCACAGGAAGATAAGGATACGGTTGGGTTAAATTTTAGACAATTTCAACGTTCAAAACCCACTGTTATGTAAGAAATTATCTGAAAGGTTTGGACACTTTTTAACTATCTTCCAACATTTCGGCATCGACTGTGGCAAAGACAGACAGCCATCTTCCTTACAAGAAAACAAAGGACAGTCTGGCTACTAATTTCTGGAACCTGTCATCTTCACTTGGAAAATTCCTAGACATTGATTTGTCCTAGTGAGCCAAAGGAGATGAAACCTGATAGAAAAAGGCTAGGATGTGATTTTGGTTGATCAGACTTGAATGTTCCTGTCCTGTCTAGATGGAGCCAAGCGCCAAACCTATAGGTGTGGTGGCTTGGGATGTAGTAGTAGGGTTTGTTCACATACTACCCCGTTGTTGACGGTATATGATACTTTGTTTTCTGCTTTTTGATGCAAGTTTATTCATTCTATTACGGTCATTGTCTGTATCCAAAATATTGAATCGAAAAGTCACTAATTCAACGAAACCTTCATGTTGTGTAGTTTAACAAGTTTTCACATTCACAAGGATGGTGTCAGGATTTCGTATTTGAAAAAGATGAATAATTTAAAAAAATATTTAAAATAGTTTAAACAAAAAAATTTATGTAAAAATATATAAATAAATTTTAAAAATGATTGAAAATATCAATCTAAATAATTTACTTAAAAGAATTAATTAGTATAGTTATAAATAATTTAATAATGATAATAATCTCAATTTCTAGATAAAATTAATAATAAATAAAAATTAACGAATAGAATAATAAAAATCTCAATGGAATGTAATTCATTAAAAAAATATTAAGAGTTATCAATAAATAATTCAATGAGAAGCAGTTCTCTAAAACTAATCACAAAAATTAAATACAATATCAATAAACAAGTCAATAAGTAAGTAATCTCGAATAAATAACTTAATTATTCACAAGAATATAAGTAAATAAAAAAATAAATAATTTGTAGGAAAGTAATCAAATAATTCTTAAATAAATAAGTAATAACTAACATTAAGTACTTAATCAAATTCTTGTTTTGTTGCTTTTAACAAAAAAAAAATTAAGACGGTAAATTCTAAATCAAAATCACCAAGTAAAAACTTTTAAAATTAAAAATATTAAAAATAAAATAAGTAAATAAATCAAATTTATCAATTATAATGACATAAAAATTGAGTTATGGACTAAAAATTTTTTGTACAGAGAATGCTAGCAGGCAAAAATATATTAATTTTTTTTGTTTATATAGTATTTGGTAAAAAAAAAAACAATATAAGGGCTGATTATGCTATTTTAAAGAAATAGAGTTTGAGAATAATTCTATTGCAATATGTTTTATTTTAATCTTATTAAAATTTGTTGTTAATTAATTGTTGTGGACATCTCATCAAATAAAATATTATTGTACGAATAAAATTATAAAATTCTAAAAAAATCAAAATAAGTTAAAAAAATTTTAAAATTTTGTAAGGGTAAAATTATTAAATTTTAAAAAATAAAAATAAATTAGAAAAATTTGGAAATTGTTGGCTCGCCTCCGCTTCTGCACATGGCTGTGTTCATCCTGGAAAACTGATGTCGTATGGGCACCCTAAAAAAATTTTTCTCTGATAAGGATATGCATCGAATTACGTCGAAGCAATCCTTTTCTCCTGTCATAGCGTCATCTGTTTGATTTGTTCCTGTCTTTGCACAAGCCCGTTACTCCAACTGCGTTTTCCAGTCGCTAGCAACAATGAATAACCGCAAATGACATCCGTTGACATCTTCAAACAATGATCCCGTTTTCAACTAATTATCTTGTAAATGTAGCCAGTCAAACAAGAAATTAAAGCACTCTTAGTTTCCGAATGGGAGGATGCCAGGTTACTATAAAAGAAGCACTCCAATTGACTGCCAATTACTTTATACAAACCTGACGGGAGGAACCAATAGTTCAGAAACAAAAAACATGGATCTGAAAGTTGAGAATGGAGGAGCCAAGAAAGGTGAGAGATTGGGTTGGGGTAAGTCTTTGCCAGTGCCAAGCGTCCAGGAGATAGTGAGGAATGATTTTCAATCAGTTCCCGATAGATACATACATGAAAATAAAGATAGGGAACTGAATTCTGACAACTTTGCTTCTTCACTTGAAGTTCCAGTCATAGATTTCTCCTTGCTAGCCAAGGGAGAAGAAGGTGAAATAAGGAAACTAGACCTTGCCTGCAAGGACTGGGGTTTTTTCCAGGTAAAAAATCCGACATATATTTATGAACTTGTGTCTGGTTTCTTGTTTATATGACGAAAGTATTGAACTGGAACGCTACGTTTTACAGATAACAAATCATGGGCTGAGAGACGAGGTCCTGCATAAGATGAAGGCAACTGTGGCAGCTTTTTTCGAACTGCCACTCGAAGAGAAAAAGAAGTATGCAAAGGCAGCAAATGAAATCCAAGGATATGGGCAAAACTTTGTAGTCTCAGAAGAGCAGAAACTTGATTGGTCCGACATGATATACTTGATCACTGTCCCTCCCGAACGCAGGAATTTCAAGTTCTGGCCACTCTCTTTACCAGGTTTCAAGTATGTATTCGTTCCTGAAACTGACACCATCGTATTTCTATCTGCAAAAAGATGATAAAACCTACAAAAAAGTTTGACTGACTAATTTTTAGGCTGCAATTCCTGGGATGAGATTGAATTATTTTCCATTTTTTGTTAAAATTGTTTTTCTCAGAGATGCAATAGAAGAATATTCAGCAGAAGTGCAAAAGGTTGCTGAGGAGCTCTATGCTAACTTCTCAGTTTTGATGGGGTTGGATAGAGATGGTCTAAAAAGGTTGCAAGGAGAGCTCAAACAAGGAATAAGGATGAACTATTACCCTGTCTGTTCAAGGCCTGATCTTGTTCTTGGTATTAGCCCTCATTCTGATGGTAGCACATTCACCTTGCTTCTGCAAGATGATGAGGTCACTGGTCTCCAAATTAAGCACAAACAAGTATGGGTTCCTGTTAAACCAATTCCAAATTCTCTTGTGGTCAACGTTGGCGATGCTGCTGAGGTACCTATAGTTTTCAAAACTACGTGTTCCTAGAGCACAGAGATCATGCACTAACCACCAAATGCTCGGACGTAATACCAAGACCCTAACCATATTTCATTTTTCTTTTTTTTTTTTTCCTCTTCAGATTCAGAGCAATGGAATGTACAAAAGCATTGAACATAGAGCCATCACAAATGAGGAGAAACCAAGAATATCAATTGCAACATTTGTATTTCCAGATGATGAACAGGAAATTGGTCCCCTTGAATCAATGATAGATGACAGTCATCGCCCTAGAATGTATAGAAATATTAAGTATGTTGATTACATCAGGGAAAAATTTGCAAGGAGAATGGAGGGAAAAGCTCACACCGATTTTGTGAAGTTACAAAGCGCGTAAACTCTAGCTGTTGTCTTCTTTTCTTTATCTAGCTAGACTAAACTGCAGCCACTAAAAAAATGCCATGACCAAGTAATTTGCTCTTGGAAGCAATACTAGGGTCTTTTTCATTAAGAAGAAGCTATCCAGTAGCTTGTATCAGCTCTATATACAAGTGACCAAATATAATAATGTTTACTACATCATAGCTTGCTTGATTTGGTCTTCCCAGAATTTTTAATTTGTTTTCTCATTATGCTGAAAACTAGGCAGAGGACATGATTGATCCAGAATATGGCACACTTAACAAACATGTACTCTGCTTTTTCTTTTTCTTTTTCTTTTTTTAAATTTCATTTGTATTGAAGAAAGGGAGAACCGGAGTTCACCAGTTACAACAGTTTTGCAAGGTTATGCCCCAACAAAGGACCAGTTGTATACCATTACAAACTTTTCTCATTGTCAAATTCCCTATACACCCATAGCGAAAACAGCCAACCCCACCAGTATCTGGTTGGCCACTTGCACACAAAAAGCACCCTCATACAATGAATAGAATGAATCGATAACACCTAACAGTAAAAACAGTCCCCTGCATCAACAAAGACCACAACAATCAAGCAAAGGGAGACCAACCAATGGCACTTCCATTACCCATCAACAGCGTAGGGACGCCCCATCTCAAGCAACGCCATCATACTCATCACTGCAAGAGGAGCAGACCTGCTTTTTCTAACCATTAATCAGCATTGGAAAGAATTATTCCATGGCTTTCCATGGTTCATCTCATGTTTTAAACTTCAGAGCATGAGTTGCCATGCATGTATACTAATTTCTCTGTGAGAAAAGAAAATTCTTAGTGAAATCGATTTACATGTCTGTTCTCATTAGAGATTAAATCTTAAATCTTCACCTACCAACCTTTTCTTTTACTGGAAAAACAGATTAAACAATTTCAAGTCGGGGGGGTTATCCAATGAAATATCAGAGTATCCCACCTAGTACTCCTGACTTGAATCCTGAGAATTGACAGCAAGAAACATGAGGGACATGTGCTTCAAACATGAGATACCATCAAATTACAAACTCAATAACATAATAGGAACTTAGCCAGTTATGCAATTTTAACAAATTTATCTTGACAAGTAGTACCAAGGGAACCCTACTGATCTATTTCTCTGAGAATTGACCGCAAGAAATATGAGGGACATGCTTAACATATGAGATATGAGATACCATCAAATTACAAACTCAATAACATACAATCTTTTGTTGTCATGGTATACTACAAGTATTACATGAGGTTATAAAATAGACATGATATTCGACAGAATCCTTTGAATTATTAAAGAAAATTTAAATAAACATTTATTGTTCTTTTGAGCTCAATTACATTCATATATTTTTATTTTAGATCAAACAAACCTTTATCACTAATAGTTGATTAATTATTATTAGTTAAAATTAAAGTCTTACATTGATACATTATTAACATGGAAGGTGGAAAATATGGTATAATTATGTCAGTGTATCATATCAACATGTCATGTCATCATTTTATTATAATACATCAATATATCATGTTAGTACCATATGATATGAAGTGACAAGTGACATTTTGATTAAAAATAATTAATCAATAATTAGTCATAATAGTTTATTTGACTCAAATAAAAATATAAAGAATTAATTACATGTAATAAAAAAATAAAAATTTATCTAATTTTTTTGAAATAATTCATCAACTTTTTTTTTTTAAAAAAAATATTATTCAAAGGTTAGAAATTAAGACTTAGTTAAAGGAGGCAAACTAATAGGTAGTTAGCAAAAATGAGTTTGGGTCGATGAGAAGCTTACTCTATCAACTGGCCCAAATCCAAATTGGACAATCTTTTCTTACACTTCTTTCCCCTCAAATTGACATATTTCAATATGATCAAAACTAAAACCTCATGTAAATAAAAATAAAACTGTAATCAATAGTTGATAGATTAATGGAAATTATAAATTAATATTATTGTGTAAATTAAAAATTGATATTGTAAATTTTTTAATTATATATATATATGAAAAATTTTAATACCGTACAATTTTTTTATTTTTGGTTTAAAAAAAGGGATTTGAACCTTACTATTTAAGGAGAGAGATCATGTATTAACAACGAAGTCAAATATTCGAATGCGGATACTTGCAAGTTTCAACCTCCATGCATATAATTTGGTGATAAAGGGTTGATTCAAAATAAATTGTAAACCTCGTAAATTTCTATAAAGGACATGGCTCATATCAGAGTAAGGTTTAATAACCCGATTTAGAACCTGTTTGGCTTAGTTTTTTTTTTAACTTAAAAGCTATTATAAAACTCTTATGAAAAATAATAGCTTTTAGAGTTAAATTGAAGTTGTTAGGTAAATTTTTTTTATAAGTTATAATTTTGATTAAAATTATCATAAAAGATTTTTTTAAGAGGGTAATATTATAATTATTTTTAACAGAAGATATTTTTGAAACAAAAATAAAAATTTTTTAGTATTTAAAAAAAAAAGAAGCTCCTCATAGGATTTAAAAATTTTTTTAAGAGTTTTTAAAATTTATGTTTGATTTGACTTTTGCTTTTAAGAGATAAATAAACAAAAAAAATCAGACCAAACGAATACTTAATCATTTATTTCAAACCGTCAATTTACATTATGAAAAAGTTGTTGCATGGCTCATTTCATGTTTTAGATCGGATGCTTATCACTTTTTTTCATTTAATATGACTATCGTACCATGGCAAGAAAATAGAATATGCATCAAATTCTTTGTCAGAAAGCAAGTAAATAGATCCCACCATAGTTAATTTACTTGTTCAAAGTGTCTGTTCAAGTGTAATTAAAAAATTGATATTGCAGTCTTTTGTTATATTGGTATGATATCTCATCCGATGTAAATAAAGAGGGGTTTTATAATTTGATAAATAAATTCATTTTGAATAAGTTTAATGCATCATTACAATTTTTTCATTTTTAAAAATTTATCTTTATACGTAATTTGGAAATGATATTTTGATTCATCTTTTGCTTTTGGATTTTTATCCTTGTTAATGCAAATTAATTTTATCTTTAATTTATATATAAAAAAATTGTACCACGACGCATAGCATGGGCTACGCTGAAAGATAATGATCAATAACGAACAAAATGCCAAGGGATGACAGAAATGTCTTCCCATTTTCGATTACACTAGAGACTACAAGCTAAAACAAAAAATTCAAAATTGCCTGATAGGAAGAAGCTTCCCCAAGCTAGTAGCTAATTGAACAGAAGCAATTATCTTGTCAATTTCGTTATATAAACTTGAGCTTAGGAACCAATTTTTAGTAACTACAAATGGATCTGACGGTTGAAAATGGAGTTGCTCTGCAGGAAGATGAAAGATTGGGTTGGGGTAAGTCTTTGCCAGTGCCAAGCATCCAGGAGATAGTGAGGAATGATTCTCAATCAGTTCCTGAAAGATTCATACAAGAAGACAAAGGTTTTTGAGAACTTGACTCCTTCACTTGAAATCCCAGTCATAGATTTCTACTTGCTAGCTAAAGGAAAAGAAAGTGAAAGGAGGAAGCTAGACCTTGCTGGCAAGGAATGGTTTTTCCGTTTTAAGTCCAACAAATGAAGTTGGGTCTGGTCTTGTGCTAGAATGAACTATGAAATGCAATGTTATTTTTAACAGATAACAAATCATGGGTTGGGTGGGGAGGTCCTGCAGAAGATGAAGGCAGCTGTGGCAGATTTCTTTGAACTGCCACTCCATGAGAAAAAGTTGTATGCACAGGCAGGAAATGATATTCAAGGATTTGGGCAAGCCTTTGAGTCTCCAAGCAGCAGAAGCTCGATTGGCGTGACATGGTATTCTTAATCACTCTCCCTCCTGAGCACAGGAATTTCAAGTTCTGGCCACTCAGTTTACGAGGTTTCAGGTAAGTATTCTTTCTGGATGCTGTTGACGCATATAATATCCACCAATACACCAAATAAATGGCAATTTATTACCTGAAAATTGATACGAAGACCTACCTACAACAGATTTTGGCAACAAACAATCCTGTATGATTGTAAGGATGCAGTCACTAGGATGTGATTGGATTGTTTTCTGTGTTATGTATTACATATGTATTTGCACAGAGCGACAGTGGAAGAATACTCAATGTAAACGAGCAAGGTTGCTGAGGAGATCTGTGCCAACTTATCAGTGTTGATGGGAATGGATAGAGATGGTCTAGGGGAGCACAAGCAAGGAAAAAGAATGAACTATCACCCGGCTTGCTCAAGGCCTGACTGATGGTTGCGTATTAACCTTGCTTCTGGAAGATGATGAGATCAGTGGCCTCCAAGTTAAGCACAAAGGAGCATAGGTACCTGTTAAACCAATTCCAAATTCTCTAGTGGTGAACATCGGTGATGCAACTGAGGTAGCTATAGTTTAGAAAAGCACATTGCTTAAGCGTTAGACAGTACATAATGTTCTGAATGTCAGCTCTCTACTATTATCCATCAGAAAGCAACCTTGCATTGCTTTCTCTCCCTCATCGAGCCATCACAAATGAGGAGAAGCCAAGAAAGACTGTTGTGACATCTGCGTTTCTGGCTGACCAACAGGAACTTGTTCCACTTGAATCAATGGTGGATGATTGCCATGGGCGGACCCTCGTTGGAGGGAGGAGGTGGTGTCACATGACACCACTCATTTTCTAAAATATTTTAATTTTTAGTCTATTTATGTATGAGGTAAGGTTGACAGCATACTAATGAATTTATTAAATTTTTTTTATAATTTTATAAGACGTGAGATCAAAGATTTCCAATTAAAATGATTTAGTAAAATGTAATTTATGACTTAATTGTTAAATATTGTATAAAATTTTTTTATATAATTTAATATTTTATTCAAAAAGTTAAAACTTAAATTACTCTTCCTGTTTAAAAATTCAAGTGGTGTATAGAAAAATTAAGTAAGTTGATTACATCAGGCAAACTTTGGCAAGGAGGATGGAGGGAAAGGCTCATACTGGCATTGTGAAGTTCAAAACCATGTGATCCCAGCTGTGTTTTCCCATTTCTATATTACAAGCTCGAAATCTGGCAATACGATATGAACAATGTCCCTACCATGCTGTTTGCTCATGTATGCAATGATGGTTACCTGAATGCATTTAATCATCAAGTTACATCCAAACAATCCTTTTCTCCTGTCCTCTCACCCAACCACAAAGAGATATAAAAGTCAAACCTCATAAATTTATTCATCGTAATTTTCGGATGTAGACGAAAACAATGAGCAACACCTAACAAACACCAAGGACACTTGAGAAAATCATTGCATTTTTAACCAAGCACTATGAATTAGCCAGTCAAACAAGGAGGATAAGTACAAAATTTGCCAGGAAGGAGCGAGCCAGATTCTCCTGAGCTTAGAAGGCGATTTTCTTGTAAATTTTTTTAGTAACTACGAGATGGAACTGAGAGTTGAAAGTGGGGGTATCCAGGAAGATGAGAACTTAGGTTGGGGCGCATCTTTGCCAGTGCCAAGCATCCAGGAGATACTGAGGAATGATTCTCAATCAGTTCCAGATAGATACATTCAAGAACACAAGGACAGGCCTCAAGTTTCTGAGAATTTGCATGCTTCACTTGACATTCCAGTCTTGGATTTCTCCTTGTTAGCCAAGGGAGATGAAGATGAAAGAAGGAAGCTAGACCTTGCTTGCAAGGAGTGGGGATTTTTTCAGGTAAATCTGGGTCAATGAACCTGTATGTAGCCTGGTCTTTTGCTTTAGTGAAACATAGATTTCAATGCTATTTTGACAGATAACAAATCATGGGGTGGCAAAGGAGGTCTTGCATAAGATGAAGACAGCTGTTGCTGCATTCTTTGAACTTCCACTCCAAGAAAAAAAGAAGTATGCAATGGCTGCCAATGATCTTCAAGGATATGGGCAAGCGTATGTTGTCTCAGAGGAGCAGAAACTTGATTGGAATGACTTGATATTCTTAATCACTTTTCCCACTGAAAAGAGAAATTTCAAGTTCTGGCCAGTTACTTCCCCAGGTTTCAAGTAAATACCTATTTTTCTTGTGCTCTTGACATTTATCAATATCCAGTAGAAATCCACAAAAGAAATAGCACTCTAATATCTTCAAAAAGCCAACAAGGCACTTTTCTATGTTGCGTTATTCTTTTCTTATAATTCTTTCCACAGAGAAGCAGTGGATCAGTACTCAACAGAATTACAGAAGGTTGCTGCAGAGATCTATGCTAATTTATCAGTATTGATGGGGCTGGATAGAGATGGTCTACTAAAGTTGCACGGAGAGCTGAAACAAGGAATGAGAATGAACTATTACCCTTCTTGTTCAAGGCCAGATCTTGTTCTAGGCGTTAGTCCCCATTCTGATGGAAGTGCAATAACCTTGCTTTTGCAAGATGATGAAATCACAGCCCTCCAAATTAAGCATGAAGGATCATGGGTTGATGTTAAGCCAATTCCACATTCTCTAGTAGTGAACATTGGTGATACTATTGAGGTAGTTCCTATTCTTCCTAAATTTTTGAAGTTAAACTTCGGAGTGACAGTTTTCTATTAGAAAAATTCAAAAGGTACCTTGTATTTCTTTCCCTTTATTTTTTTTTTGCCAGATTCTGAGCAATGGTGTGTACAAAAGCATTGAGCACAGAGCCATCACAAATGAGAAAAAAGAGAGAATATCAATAGCAACGTTTATGCTTCCAGATAACGAGCAAGAAATTGGTCCACTTGAATCAATGGTGGATGAACTGCATCGCCCTAGAATGTACCGAAAAATTAAGTTTGCTGATTATGCCAGGCAAGTTTTGGCAAGGAGAATGGAGGGAAAAGCTCACACTGATATTGTGAAGTTAGATAACAATTAATCCAAGCTGAGTTCTTTATTTCCAGATTACTAGATGCCTATGTGTAGGCAAGTAAATTAGACAAATGTAATAATGGTATGTTTTACTCCTATGTGGCTCAAATAACCTGTGCAAGTTTGATTTGGAATGAATGCTAAACCTGTATATGATTTCGACACTCCATACATTTGACCTAAATCATGTATAAGTTCCTTTAATTGTTGCTTGGTTTGATATTCCTATAAATTTGTTCTTGTTTTAGTTATGCAGAAACCTAAGCAGAGAACTCTGTTGATCTCAGAATAGGGCATACCAACCCTGCTTTCTTCCTAGCTAATAATTTGCCTTATTTTAAGAGTTCTTCCATGGCCCATCACATGTTTTCATACCTTAGCATAAGTTGCCAATGCTTTATTTTCTTGGAAAATGATCCAGGAAGCCCTGCCAATTTTTCTGAGAAGGAAATGCACCAGATTAAGTTTTAAAAAAAACGTTTATGTTACTGAATAATTTTACATCCTAACATTTCTTTAGTCCTCATTAGAGATTAAAACATATTTTTGAATCTTCACATGACAACCTTTTAGTACTGAAAATCAAATTAATTATAAGTTTAGTGATTCTTTGATCAATGAAATCGGTCAGAACATAGAGATTTTATTAATCCAACTTGCATTTTTTGTGTAGCCTATTAATTCCATCAGTGTATAACCCCTAAGATTGCATAGTGGAAGTTTTCTAATTCTATATTAATCTAATAAGTTGGCAAGTCCAACTGAAGCAAAACGCCAAAATGTCCTGAAAGGTTCCTTGAATTAAAGAAGTATCCTTCAGGACAACAGGGGCAATCTTGTTAACTGATACAAATATACCTGGAAGGCTCGGAGCAGAGACTTTGAGTAGGTAGAAATGGATCCAAAACATTTTTGTTTTGTGGTCTTAGGGTATTACTGTCACTGTTTGAGGTTGTTTTCTAGGAATTATGTCTTTGTTGTATTGCCTCGTTGTTTCCTACTGTTGTTTTTGATCTTAGGCAGGATCGAGTTTTTTTGTGAGGTTACTGATTGATGAGGGCATGCTGCTGGGTTATGTAAGCAGTGTGTGAACCTTTTTGTTCAGGTTTTTCTTACCATACCGGTTTTCATTCATACCAATGAGAGTCTCTGACAACTCCAGTTTGAGACTATCAATGGTATATCGGTTAATGGCTAATAAATTCCACTTTTCAAAAAAAAAAGAAATGAATCCAAAAGTTGAAAATGGAGGTTCTCAGGAAGATGGGGCATCTGGTTGGGGTAAATCTTTGCCAGTACCAAGCATCCAGGAGATAGTCAGGAATGATCCTGAATCAGTTCCTGAAACATACAAGAGCACAAGGACAGGCCATTGGTTTGTGATTTCTCACCGGTTTCTGTCAAAATTCCAGTCATAGATTTTTCGTCGTTAGCCAAAGGTGAGGAAGATGAAAGAAGGAAATTAGACCTTGCTTGCAAGGAGTGGGGATTTTTTCAGCTAAATCTGCAAATCAAAGTTTTCTGGTCTTCTGCTATTGGAAAAATGAATTCAAATGCCATTTTTGACAGATGATAAATCATGGGGTGGCAGAGGAGGTCCTGTATAAGATGAAGGCAGCCGTGGCTGCTTTCTTTGAACTTTCACCAGAAGAAAAAAAGAAGTACGCAATGCCAGAAAATGATATTCATGGATATGGGCAAGCCTATGTAGTCTCAGATGAGCAGAAGCTCGATTGGTGTGACATAGTACTCTTAATTACATTCCCACCTGAGATCAGGAACCTTAAGTTCTGGCCTGACACATTACCAGGTTTCAAGTATGTATTCTTTCTCTGTGCTGTTTATGCACAAAAACTATCAAGCAAATCCACCATGGAAATAGCAGTTGGTTCTCTGCAAGAGGACAAGAAGATCCCATAAAAAATTCTGACAAGAAATATAAAAACACATAGGCATAAACATGAGCTGATGAGCATACATGCAATCCTGAATAATTTGAATGCACTTCTTGCAATCACCAGGACTAGGCTTCATCTGAATTGCACTCTCTATTTTGCATTTTCATTTCTCCTTTCTCAGGGAGGCAGTGGATAAGTACTCGAGAAGCGAGAAGGTTGCTGATGAGATCTGTGCCAACATATCACTTCTGATGGGCATGGCTAGAGAGGGCCTGAAAAGGTTTTATGGCAAGACCAAACAAGCCATGCGAATGAACTCCTACCCACCTTGCTCAAGGCCTGATCTTGTTGTTGGTATTAGCCCTCACTCTGATTCAGATATCATAACCTTACTTCTGCAAGATGATGACATTCCTGTTCTCCAAATCAAGCACAAACATAGATGGTTTCTTGTTAAACCGATTCCAAATGCTATTGTGGTAAATGTTGGCGACGTTATGGAGGTACTTGGTAGTTAAAAAGTTCTGCTGTCTTTGGGCATTGCTTAAGTGCTTGATCATTGTCTTTCTGACTGACGACATTCTCCATCTTTTTATGTCATGAGCTACCTTTATGATTTGTTTGTTTGGGGTTTCATTTTTCAGATTCTAAGCAACGGTATGTACAAAAGCATAGAGCACAGAGCCAACACAAGTGACAAAAAAGCAAGAATTTCGGTTGCAAACGCCATGTTTCCAGATCATGAACTGGAAATTTGTCATTCGGAATCAATGGTGGATGATCACCATTGTCCTAGGATGTATAGAAAAAGCCAGTATGTTGATTACCCGAGGTAAACGTTGGAAAGGAAACTGGTGGGAAAGCTCACATTGAGTTTGCGAAACCAGAAAGCAACTGATTCCCTTTCTCACCTCCTGTAAGCTAAACTCTCTTCAAAATGCTTGTATGTGACGTCTCCTGTTATCAGTTCTCCATTACACTTAAAAATTTTACTCGAGCAAGTGGCTTTGATAGTTTCTGAGAAACAAAATACAGGTGGCTCTGTATAATAAAGAACAATTGAGCAGCAGGAAAAAAAAAACCCTCGTAAATCGAGCCAAGATATCAATATTAGCTCAAACATGGCATACATCACGGAAAGGGGAAAGTTCATTAAATCAGGAAAAAGTTAATTCCAGACTCCTAAACACAAAGGCTCTCTCAACCTGATACATTTGTACAGTCATGATCACAAATTTACTACCTGCTCCCTTTTTACAACCTTAAAACGTGTACAATAACTTTTATCTCCTCTGCAGATAAAGGCATCAGCTTGTTCACCATCTGAGCCTCAGCTAACCTGATTCTAGGTATATCCTCCAACTACAATGTACAGTTTTAAGTACAACCGACAAATTTTATTTTCAACCAGCTCCCATCTATCCAAATAAATAGACAGGGCTGTCATTAGACATGAAAAAGAAAGAAGAAAGAGAGAGGCGCTCATACTGTCCTCAGTTAGCTGTACAACAAGTTCTTTTCCTACACCATCTAAGCTGCTGGGTTTGGAGTCAGAATGCTGATCCTCCGCTCTGCAAAAGATGAAGCACCGTTATCAGCATGCTATTTCCAACAGTTGGGGTATCAAAGACTGCAGTTCTAATAGGGGAATGAGTAATTGCTGGTACTTTAACAAACAACAAAAACAGTAGCATTGTGGAAAAACCTACAATCTCCAACTATGAACCCCATGTACAGTATGTAAGGGTCAAAAATGAAACCACCAAAATTGATCTCTGTCAAACCCAAAATAACAGGTGCGCAAGTGTTGTTTACCCACAACTAATTAAAAAAACAACGGGAGAAAAAGCATATATACAAAGTTCTACTTCACAATGCTATTTGGTAGAAGACAAGAAACCCAGGCATCCAAAAAACCATTCAAATGGTTAAAACATATTTCTATTTGGCACATGACCCACGTTTTCAACAATCAGCCAATGCAATGCAACAAGAGAAATCAGCCAAAACCTTATGGGACAAGAGAAATAAAATGCAATTACCTCCAGCTGCAACAAGTTTCTCTACACGCGCAACTATGTGCTTCCCGTAAGTATACTTCTTCAAAGCATTCAAGTGAACCTTTATTCGGTTGAGAATTAATTCAAGCTGCTGATCATCACAGGTTTCCAGCACTTTCTGTACAACATAGTTTGCAAACTGATCTTTCATCATCACCTAACAAGAATAAACAAAAACCAAATTAAGGAGAAGAAAGTTGAGACACCGTGAAGCAAGGCTAGAACATGGTAAAAGCATTGAAAAGTTAACAGAAACATCACTGCCCTTCAAATTGTTTTTACAAACACAGAAACCTAGTAAGTTCCAGTTAAAAATAGAAAAAAAAAGAACCATCCACTTGAGAAAAGATGCCATATTCTCAATGCAGCCTCATGAGAGATAACCTACAAAACCCCAAGCTTGTATCATCGGGGAGCCATGATATCTCCATGGACAGCGTAGGGAGACAAGGGTCTAAAGTATAAAACAATAGCAAAAGCAGAAAATGAACATGCATTAATGCTTTTCAGTTTAGTCAACAAATGGTGAATCACAAACCTGAAGGGGCTCATTTTCATCAGTGGAACCAAGCATCTCATTGACCAGGTTCTGGCGTTCTATAGGAGTTCCAAAAGTTAAACATTTTTCTATAACATTAGATGCAAACTTCTGCTGGCTCATTTGAACTATCTGCCCAGTTAGTTTCTTGATTATCGCAGAGCGTTCATGTGGCTTCCCATGCTCCAGAACATGCTGTAATATTATTAGAAGCAAGCAGTCAGAAGAAGATGATCTGGAATGACCAAATACAGAGAAGGGGCAGAAAGAAGGAAAGATCTTTAGCTCAATTTTGAACACAAGACAAACAAGACAGGCTAAAAGGCACAGAAGCAATGGCTGCAAGTAGATTCCATCTGATGCTTTAAAACAATAACATTGTGGGTACAGATTCCAATGTGTGTGCATTGGGGTTTTGTAAACTACTTCAAGCTCTCCAGCTAGAACTTGTCCAGCATTCTATAATTGACCCAAGTAGTTAAGAGGAAAACTTATGGACATCAACCAGGACCACTAAGCCTGTCCATTCAACTTTTATTTCGGAAGGAAAGACCAGAAAGGCAAAATGCAGCTTATTGTAATGCATATAAATTTTTACCTCAATCAACATGTCTGACAGCATACTTACAACAAATTTCCATAAGTTAGATATTTTCTAATCAACCATGGGATGCAACTTCGCCCATCACGGTGGTATCATATGCATAGATTTTTCTATAATCAATATAATTTTAAATACAAACTATAAAAGGAATTGCTCTCTCAAAAGAACCATTTACAAGGTAATACAGAACCAAATGAAGCTACAAGGACAACGTAAAGAGCTGCCAAAATAAATGACAAACCTGTACAACATAATTCCCATATTGGTCTTGAGCCAACAAGCAAACAGACTGCAAAATCTCATCCATCATTATATGTTGGGTTTTTGCTTCATGACAATGCTCTAGGACTCTCTGTAACAAAACATATGTACCATTACGATGTCACAACATTTGAATTTATTTGTCCCAGACCATGATACCCAAATGAAAAACATATGTTAAATTAGCAACACAAAGTCTTTAAACCTGAATGACTCGACAACCATATGGATGTGTGGATAGTGTCACGACTTGATCGTAAAATGTTGAAACAATAAACTGAATAGCATCTTCAGGTACACATTCTATACACTTCTGGACAACATGGTTCCCGTTTTGATCACGTACACAGCGCATAACATGTCCATCAAGCTCTTTGACCATTCTAGTCTTCTGATCTAGCTCAACAACCTCTATAGCCTGAATAGCGGATCAAAGAGCAATACATGCAAAGCTTTAGTTCCATTGCAATGTCAAATATAACAGCATAGATTCAAACAGCATCGTAGTGAAACAGGCATTCTGTCTTAAAACAATCATTAAATTTTATACAGCAATGCCGATAAGTTAAAACAATATGCATCATTGTGCAGGTCAAGCCACACGCAATTAATGCTCATATGAATTAACCATTCCATAGATTTTTGGAAAATGAAAGATTCAGCTCCAGCAGGAAGAACAAGTTCTATATGAAATAAAGAATAACCACAACAAGAGTAACTGTCCGGGAAATCCACCTTCTGAATCACTCGACAGCCATACATTTGAAGGCTAAGCGTCAACACATGCCCAGTCAGCTGGTCAGCCAGTTCTCTTATTTGGGATGCAGATCCATGCTCAAAAAACTGTATCCGCAGATAAAGAAATCAGTTGATGAGCTTTTGGTAGAGATTTTGCCAGATGATTGCACAAATTATCACAAAAAGAGTCAAAGAAAATGAAAGAAACATCCTTAAACGTCATAAGCATGTCATAAGAAATTTTGATACTCAATGCAAAATACCTTTTGAATCACATAATTACCAAACACATCAGTCATTAAAGAAAGTGCTTGGGGCATGATTTCATGGAAAACCATATTTTTCTCTTCTATTGTGGCTGTCTCAAGTTTTTGCTGAATAAATCGACTCCCATACTGATCGGCACTGCTTATATAAGGTAGTTAGTAAATGCATTGAACCTTTAGAAGTCCGCAACAAGTGGAAAAGTGTTTAACTAGAATTTACCTGAACTCAACAACATGACCTGCAATTTCTGAAAGTTCAAAACATTTAGTTTTGTTGCTTTTAAATTCATCTAGCAAAGAGGATGCAAAACTTTCATCCAAGTTACCAGCGGCTTCTGAATGCCAAGCCCCCATGACTCCACCAGGCACATTCCTCAACCCAGAAGCAAAGCGTATGTTTCGCTCACTGTGTCGGACAGGACTTCCAGACCCTACAGGAGAGTTTGGAAAAAGGGGACCTGCTAGGGGACTTCCAGGATATGACATGCCAAGACCAAGCCCAGGATTTCCATAGTATGATTTTTGTGGTGAAAGAAGTGCCCCTAAGTAAGCTTTTTGAATACCAAGCAAATCCATATATGAATTACCACTGTACTCCCTATCAACCATGGCATCATTGAGAGCTGCAACCTGTGCAGCAGCTAATTCATTTGATCTCAAGTACTGAAGATACAATGGGTCCAAGAGTGGTGCTTGGAGACCATTTCCTGAATTATGGTTTCCCAATCTACTAAGATTCTGCAGTTCCACCGCTGCAGCCATCAAATTTGGATTCATAGCCAAACCTCCTGCCAGTGCTCTAGATTCCAAGCCAGTTCCTCCCATTGCAGACAGAGCAGCAACATTTTCAAAAAAAGGTGGAAAAGAACCAGTCCCAAGTTGGTTTCCTATCATGGGGGGTGATGAAGGATTTATAGAAAAGCCACTTAAGCCATAGTTTGGAAATGGAGAATTCATGTTATCCAGATTCTGGTGGTTCGGAAGACTTCCCGCACCGTTGACTGCGGGTGTAGAAGATCCCTTCGAGTATGAGTTAGCAGATTTACGGAGTTCAACCTGTCCATCAGCCATTAAAGAAGACTTCTTAAAGTCCATACCAACTCCACTGCTTTTACCCATATTCAAATAGTGTCCTTTAGCAGACTGAGCAGTAGAATGTGAATGAAAATGTTCAGGTTCCAACTTATTCAAGTATGAATTTTGTTTGATATGCTTCTGATCAACCTGCCGATCAATGAGATTATGGTTGTCATCAATTCCATGATGAGCCTGTGACCATGAATGATTCTCTTTATCTATCACACCATTTGTTGACAGATTCAAGCCAGACAAAGCAGCAACCAGCTCTGCAGACTCACCCACACTTGCT